CCAATAAAACCCAACCATCACGTGATTACGCCAGAAATGTCAACTTACGCTCATGAGAATTCGCCCTTAAGCTTAATTTCCACTTGCGCGTAATTCGCTCTTTTTTGACATTGCTTCGAAAATTTGACGTTTGATACACGCATAAAACGTCAAATTGTCGAAGCAATGTCAAAAAAAGGGCAAGTTTCGCGCAAGTGAGAATGAGGCATTTATCATAAATTCTGACCCAATGGCGTAGTGGAAATTGCCAATTGGCGTTTTGTATTTTTTCTCATGCAACTAATAAACTTATTTTAATAAAAATTAAATTTGTTAGTGGAATAATTGGAAAATTAGCTAAATATATAATTTGCCTCAAAATCCTTCAAATTCGGATAAAAACCTTCAATCCTTCAGTAGTCAAAATTTTAGATCAAAACCCTTCATATTGAAGGAAATCCTTCAATTCTGGCAACACTGTCCAAAATATAAATCATAGGGTAGGTACCTACCACCTTCTTACTAAAACGATGAAATTTCAATTTTTTTTTTTTGTCGAGATTTTGTTTCCTTATGGTCAATCAACATACCTCAAACTCTATACACTAGATTATTTCATTAATTATAGAATAGACCAATCAGACAACGTCATTTTTTGACTAAATTTTGTTTAAATAAGTGATTATTTCACAAGACCTGTTTATCAGCGATTAAATTTTTGTTTACCTTTTTTGACAGAATTTGGATAGAAATATTCTGACATTTTATAATAAAAAATAGAACTTTTTGTTTGTGGCTTCAATCCTAATAATTATTCAGGAAATAATCTAGCCGTATACCACTCGACCTATAAATTTAAATGGATTAAACTATCCAAATATTTTTCGCACAACTTTGCTTTTTGGCAAATAGTTTCATGCACAATAACTTTGAAATAAAAGCCCTCGACCGCTTCGCGGTCTCGAGCTTTTATTAAGTTATTGTGCATTCAACTATTTTCCAAGCAAAATCATGCTCAAAATATGTTGCATAGTTTAATCGATTAAATTTGAAGGTCTTGTGATATAATATATGATTATTCTCAGATTTGAAGCCGAAATCTATGAAAAAGGGCACTCAGAAAAATTGAAAAATTGATAAATCACCCCAAATTGCTTAACGCGATTTTATCTCAGGAACCATAAGTGCAAATGAGCTGAAATTTTCAGGGATTGTAGTCACTTGATTGGGATAAAATTCAGTGAAAGTTTCAACATTCTATCTATAATAGAAAAAAAATTATGACCTTTCAAAGTTTTCCAAAATCTAAAGCATAAGGTAGGTACCTACCTTCTTACTAAAACGATGAAATTTCAATTTTTTTTTTGTCGAGATTTTGTATCCTAATGGTCAATCAACATACCCCAAACTCCCTACACTAAATTATTCTCAGATTTGAAGCCGAAATCTATGAAAAAAGGCATTCGGAAAAATTGATAAATCACCTCAAATTGCTTAACACAATTTTATCTCAGGAACTATAAGTCCAAATGAGTTGAAATTTTCAGGGATTGTAGTCCTTTGAAATGGATAAAATTCAGTGAAAGTTTCAGCTTTCGATCTATAATAGAAAAAAAGTTATGACCTTTCAAAGTTCTTCTTACTAAAACGATGAAATTTCAATTTTTTTTTTTGTCGAGATTTTGTGTGCTTATGGTCAATCAACATACCACAAACTCCATACACTAAATTATTCTCAGATTTGAAGCCGAAATCTATGAAAAAAGGCACTCAGAAAAATTGAAAAATTGATAAATCATCCCAAATTACTTAACACGATTTTATTTCTGGAACTATAAGTTTAAATGAGCTGAAATTCTGAGGGATTTTAGCCCTCCAATCGAATAAGAATCGATAAAAGTTTCAGCTCTCAGATTTTGTGTTTTAATGATCATTGGGAACCCTCCAAACTCCATACACTAAATTATTCTGAGATTTGAAAGGGAAATCTATGGAAAAAGAACGTCAGAAAATTGAAAAATTCATAAATATACCCCAAATTGCTTAACATGATTTTATGTATGGAACTATAAGTCCAAATGTACTGAAATTTTCAGGGATTGTAATTCTCTACTGGGATAAGAATCTGTTTGTGATTAAATTGGAGATCTATCTGTGATTAAAAAGGAAATCCAAATCACAAGATCTCCTTAGTAGGTACTAAATTTCCAATTTTTCCATGTTGAGATTTCCACTTAATGAATTGCACCAAACCTAAATTTCCCGGCCAACCCAATAAATCTATATTTAAATGAATAATTACTATATTATTCTCAACTCATCATTTTAGAAGCTAAAAATATCCATATGCAAGTTGCCTTTATCAATATTATCTCAGCAATCAAATGAATGATTACCCAAAAAATACACGCAGATATATTGCGTGACTTCAGGATTACGTACATATGCTATATTATTCAATAAAGGGGTTGAAATCCTATATTTTATGTATAACAATCAAGATGATTGATTTGAGGTTCTTCTAAATTCTATTAATAAAGGCCATTAGAAAATTTTCAGGAAGGATGCCAGAGATCAAAAGGCTACTTTAGTAAATAGTGGCTAAAAATAAACACCCAAAATATTTCAGTGTTTAGTAGTCCAAAGAGATGTTTTTGACCTTTTGTTCTGATTAAAGTATTCCAATCATTTATTGTTTATAATAAAACTAGATTTCTTCACAAATTTCTCTCATTGTGTTCTAGGTCAACGACATTATTGTTATTATAATTAAGAATAATTGAACAACATGCAATAATAATTACCTATTAAAATCAATGACATTGGAATGGTTGTTTCATGTAAAAAATTTGGCCAATAATGATAGTAATAGTCTGTATTGTATATTTAGGATTTACTTAATCAATATCAGTAAATGACGTACGACAAGGACGTCTAGAAAATTATTATTTTATATATATTTTGCACATAATAGAAAAATTAGTATAAGCAATATTAGTTGTAATTCTAATCAGTAATATGCAAATTGTGTGCCCAACAGTTTTTTGTGTAACAAACGATAATACATTCATATTTGGCTTGTAAGTTTTATCACTAAAAACGTCCTTCCAAGCCCAGGATATATTAAATTTTTATCAATAGGTACAGGATCTCAACAATATAAAAAAAAGCAAATTTACTTTCTCCTTCCGCCTAGTAACCAAAACTATGGGTTGTAAAAGTTTAATGGTTATTAGATTTACTCATATAAGGATTGCAGGTGGATTTCATATTCGTACATTGTTACAAACAAAAATTGATTCTGATGACGTGTTGTTGTTTTTCATTGACCCCAGAAGAATTGAATATAATTCAGTGATTATTCCCGGTTCTTGATCTGAGTCAAGAGCCAGAGATAATCAAAATTTGAAAATTGAAGACTGATTAAAACGATTCTTATGCCATTTTGTAGCTTTACATTACCTCAGACAACAGGCAGACCACCTAGGAGTTATTTGCCAAATTGGAGGAATGTTTGGAAATTGGGAAAATTTATTGGTTTCAACACCGAGCCTAATAAAAATAGAAAAATACATTTTTTATCCCAAAAAATTTCGGAGATTTTTAAAGAATTTGTAACAGAAATTCGCAGGGAATTTGCGAGCAGTTTGGAGGTATTTGCAGGGAATTTGGATGAATTTGCGGGAAGTTTGAGGAATTGCTTGCACAAATTCAAAAGGGTAGTTTACCCCTTGACCCCAGAGTTGCTGAATTGAAGAATTGATTAATCAAACCAGGTGATCAAATCAATTCTCTGGCCATTTTTTCACTTTTCATTGACATGAAATTATTATTAAACATCCAGTAGAACAAGGAGGATTTATGATAACAACATTCTAATAAAAATTACTACAGTGAAGAGTAATCAATTGACTGATTATTCCCGGCATTTGGTCCGAATCGAGAGCCTGGAATAATCAAAACTTGAATATTGAAAAAGACTAGCTGATCAAATCAAAAACAAAATAATAAATAAAGACCCTAAATATCAATCAAATAAACATTATAAAAGTATAAAAATCATGCCAAGAGGAATGAGACTTTAAATAAAATCAAGATTTTGTAAGCTTTTAAAACAAAGTTCCTGCTGGCAAAAATTAGGTTTCCGTGTCGAGAAAGAATCCACAAGAATTTAATACAATAATTGAAAGTGTGGTCACACTCGTTGTATACAGTTAAGTATTTTAATGTCAAGGCCAAACTAGTAGTATGTACGCCCCCAAGGAAAACCACGTTAATGCGACAGAATTTTTGCATAAAGATCTGAAGAGATTTTTGAAGCCTTAAGCAAATACTGTGAACTCATAATGATGTCACAATAGTGTCAATATGGGCTTGGTGTCTGAATCATTTCACTTCCTAGCAAATTTAGTTCAAGTTCACCTTCATAAAAACCTAATATCGTGCCGTGTTTTCAGACCCTAATCTAATAATAATTAGGTTAGAAGGTTAATCCTGAAAACAAAAAGCTTTTAGGTAAATCATACATAGAACATTTCAAAAAATTTTATCCAATTAATAATAATTGGACAAGCCCAACTGGCACAATATTACATCAGAATTTTAAATGGATGTTTACCCAATACACGAAATCATGCCTCTGGGCATCGAATATTTACAAGGGATGAAATATGTATGGATAAAGTGAACTTTGCATGACATGTGTAATAATGTTTGTAGGGTTTTTTTTGGTATGTTCCACTTCATTTTATATTGATGATGGTCGATTGCTTGGGCGGAAATGTCAATGGGGATTTGTTTGTTAATATAAAATAGATTTAGTGGGTTGGCAAAATGTTAATCTATCAAATTTGATAGGTAGCTTATTCAGGTTTATACCTACTAACAGATAAATGGATTATAATTATTTATCTGCTTCTATTTAAGTAAATTTCAAGCCTGAGAAAATTCAGAAATTTGTCTCAAATTACGTTTTTATAGTAAATTATTTTATAGTTTTTTCATCATGAAATGTAACTTACCTATTATAAATCCTACAAGTGCTATTGTTAATATTCTTATCGCTAGCATGTCTTCGGCGATCTTCAAACAAATCCTTGACAGCAGTCACCCCTAAAACGAACATCACCGGAATCATAGCGATCTCTTTACCGAACGCATTGATCGCCGGTACCCAGTTCAGAAGCACTATAAAGATAAAATACAAGTTCGCCACCCTGTGAAATTGTTCGAGCAAATTGCGCGGTAAAAAGCTCAACAGGGTGTACTTGGTAGTCCGTATACAGTTGTCGGGTCGTCGCCCGTTGGGGTGCACTTTTCGCGGTGTTTTCGGAGGCACTATGTGATTGGGCACTACCGTTCTTATACGTTCCTCGGGGTCGTACTTTGGCGAACGACGTATCAGTCTGTAGAAGATTTTCTGCCAGATGTGCGGCGGCTCAGAACGACGTAGCGTGTAAATCGATTCGGATCTAGAAGCTTGCCTGAATAATAATGATATGAAATTCAAATTGCAAAAAATGGACAATATAAATGTACCTAGAATGTCCCTTGGCACTGATTCTAGAAGTGGTTCCTTCGACGCTGTCAGTTTCTTTATGTCCAGGTGGTAAAATAAATTCAGTCTTAGAACCAACTCTGGAATGGCCGGGTCTGTCAGGTCCGGCCACTGCCACTTCGGATATTTGACCTTGAGAAAATGCCCTTTGATGGCCTCTAGAACCTTCAAGAGAAATAATTGATATCTCTAAACATAATAATATAAAGAAATACTGGCTAAATTGACATACTTTTATCTGATCCAAAAATCACTTGTAATACTTCAAAGAAGTGCAGAGAATGTATGAGAAAATTCAATTTATCCAAATCTAAGGAAATATTGAGGAAAAGTCTCAGGAAATATTAAAAATTGAAACAAATCAACTAGATAGACTTTATTCAAGGGGCACACCACCCAGGTATTATTTGTCAAAAATGTGGGGAAATTAGAGAAATTTGTCAGAAATTAAAAGGAATTTGTGGGGAATTTGGAGGAACTTATCGGAACTTATGAGAATTTGGGGAATTTATAGGGAATTAGGAGGAATTTATAGGGAATTTGGAAGGAATTTATAGGAAATTTGGAAGAATTTGTGAAGAATTTATGTGGAATTTAAAGGAAATTGTAGGGTCATCTAGTTTTGTGTTGGACGTTGGATATTTATTATTATTACACTTCATGATTTACAAGTAAAAAATTCAAAAGAATAATGAATACAATTTTTGTAGGCTGATTTCCAAGATTTTTCATGTTATTTTCCACTAGAAAAATGAGCTTCTCACCTTCCTCTTTACATGCAAAAAGTTTCAAAATTATTCCTTCACTAGTTTTCCAGGAAAACTTTGAAATGTGTGAGACTTTATTCTCAATTAATTCACTTTTTGTAGGTTGATTTCGAAGATTTTTCATATTGTTATTTTCCACTGCAAAAATTTGAAATTTTGGAAATATGAGTTTCTCACCTTCCTCTTTACGTGCAAAAAGTTTCAAAATTCTCCTTTTACCTACTAGTTTTCCAGGAAAACTTTGAAAGGTGTGAGACTGTATTTTCAAATAATTCAGTTTTTGTAGGTTGATTTCTACTAAGATTTTTCATGTTAGTGTTTTCCACTGGGAAAATTTGAAACCTTGGGAAAATGAGCTTCTCACCTTCCTCTTCACGTGCAAAAAGTTTCAAAATTATCCCTTCACTAGTTTTCCAAGAAATTTTTGAAATGTGTGAGACTGTATTATCAATTAATTCAGTTTTTGTAGGTTGATTTCCAAGATTTTTCATGTTGTTATTTTCCACTGGAAAAATTTGAAATTTTGGGAATATGAGTTTCTCGCCTTAATCTTTACATGCAAAAAGTTTCAAAATTTTCCCTTTACTAGTTTTCCGGGAAAACTTTGAAATGTGTGAGACTGTCTTTTCAACTAATTCAGTTTTTGTAGGTTGATTTCCAAGATTTTTCATGTTAGTGTTTTAAACTGGAAAAATTTGAAACTTTGGGAAAATGAGCTTCTCACCTTCCTCTTTACATGCAAAAAGTTTCAAAGTTATCCCTTCACTAGTTTTCCAGGAAAACTTTGAAATGTGTTAGACTGTATTTTCAATTATTTCAGTTTTTGTAGGTTGATTTCCAAGATTTTTCATGTTATTATTTTCCACTGGAAAAATTTGAAATTTTGGGAAAATGAGCTTTTTACCTTCCTCTTTACATGCAAAAAGTTTCAAAATTTTCCCTCTACTAGTTTTCCAGGAAAACTCTAAAATATGTGAGACTGTATTTTCAACTAAGTCAGTTTTTGAAGGTTGACTTCCAAGATTTTCCAAGTTAGTGTTTTCCGCTGGAAAAATTTGAAACTTTGGGAAAATGAGCTTCTCACCTTCCTCTTTACATGCAAAAAGATTGAAAATTAACCCTTCACTAGTGTTCCAGGAAAACGTTGGAATGTGTGAGACTGTATTTTCAATTAATTCAGTGGTAGGTTGATTTCCAAGATTTTTCATGTTATTTTCCACTGGAAAAATTTGAAATTTTGGGAAAATGAACTTTTCACCTTCCTCTTTACATGCAAAAAGTTTCTAAATTTTCCCTTCACTAGTTTTCCAGGAAAATTCTAAAATACGTGAGACTGTATTTTCAACTAAGTCAGTTTTTGAAGGTTGACTTCCAAGATTTTCCAAGTTAGTGTTTTCCGCTGGAAAAATTTGAAACTTTGGGAAAATGAGCTTCTCACCTTTCTCTTTACATGCAAAAAGATTCAAAATTATCCCTTCACTAGTTTTCCAGGAAAACTTTGGAATGTGTGAGACTGTATTTTCAATTAATTCAGTGGTAGGTTGATTTCCAAGATTTTTCATGTTGTTATTTTCAGCTGGAAATTTTTGAAATTTTGGGAAAATGAGCTTTTCACCTTCCTCTTTACCTGCAAAAAGTTTCAAAATTTTCCCGCTACTAGTTTTCCAAGAAAACTCTAAAATAAGTGAGACTGTATTTTCAACTAATTCAGTTTTTGAAGGTTGACTTCCAAGATTTTCCAAGTTAGTGTTTTCCGCTGGAAAAATTTGAAACTTTGGGAAAATGAGCTTCTCAACTTTCTCTTTACATGCAAAAAGATTCAAAATTATCCCTTCACTAGTTTTCCAGGAAAACTTTGAAATGTGTGAGACTGTATATTCAATTAATTCAGTTTTTGTAGGTTGATTTCCAAGATTTTTCATGTTAGTGTTTTCTACTGAAAAAATGTGAAACTTTGGGAAAATGAGCTTCTCAGCTTCCTCTTTACATGCAAAAAGATTCAAAATTATCCCTTCACTAGTTTTCCAGGAAAACTTTGGAATGTGTGAGACTGTATTTTCAATTAATTCAGTGGTAGGTTGATTTCCAAGATTTTTCATGTTGTTATTTTCAGCTGGAAATTTTTGAAATTTTGGGAAAATGAGCTTTTCACCTTCCTCTTTACCTGCAAAAAGTTTCAAAATTTTCCCGCTACTAGTTTTCCAAGAAAACTCTAAAATAAGTGAGACTGTATTTTCAACTAATTCAGTTTTTGAAGGTTGACTTCCAAGATTTTTCATGTTAGTGTTTTCCGCTGGAAAAATTTGAAACTTTGGGAAAATGAGCTTCTCAGCTTCCTCTTTACATGCAAAATGATTCAAAATTATCCCTTCACTATTAGTTTTCCAGGAAAACTTTGAAATGTGTGAGACTGTATTTTCAATTAATTCAGTTTTAGGTTGATTTCCAAGATTTTTCATGTTGTTATTTTCCACTGGAAAAATTTCAAATTTTGGAAAAATGAGCTCCTCACCTTCCTCTTTACATGCAAAAAGTTTCAAAATTTTCGCTTCACTAGTTTTCCAGGAAAACTTTGAAAAATGTGAGACGGTATTTTCAATTAATTCAATTATTGTAGGTTGATTTTCAATATTCCTTATGTTGTTATTTTCCACTGGGAAAATTTGAAATTTTGGGAGAATGAACCTTCAACCCTTTTACTCTTTGTAAGAGACATTTGTGGAAAATTTGAGAGGAATTTGGAGGAATTCGCAGGGAATTTAGAGGAATTTGTGGGGTATTTGGAGAGATTCGTGGTGGGGTATTTGGAGGAATTTGTGATGGAGTATCTGGAGGAATTATGCGTAAAAAATTACCCTTTGAGAAATTGTTTGCACCAATTCTGGGATGGTGGTTTACCCTTTGACTTTATTATAATAAAAATTTGGAAAACCCCGAAGAAAAACCAAAAATTAAGAAAAACTAAAGAAAGTAGAAAAGAAATATTCAACAAGTATAAGTTACCTTTAAGTGCTGATCGTCCAACTATCCCTGTTGAACTTGTAGCAGGCAGTGCAGGCACCAAATTAGAACTAGTACCGCCATGACTGACGCTTCTAGAATGGCCCCTGTGTTGATTGGGACTCTGAGCGGCAGGTCCCCCGGGGGGCGCCAAATTGACATCGGGAAAAGTGTACGTGGTGCCCCCTGAACCTACACTAGCAGAGGGCATCGGGCCGCCAGCGTTCTGGGCTTGATTCGGCGTCTCTGGGACGGCCGCGCTGGTTCTGTCCGTTGCTGCTGGATTTAGGTTCGACATTTTTGGACGACTGAAATTGAAATAGGAATTTGAGAGGTGAAATAAAAATCGAATTGAAAGTTCTATTTCAGGGCAAAGGATCTTTGTTCAATAAAATTTTTGGTTTCCTGATACCTGATATTTGTATTTTATTACATTTTAATTCAAAACTTGATAAAACACAAAAACGCATGGTATTTTACAGAAAAATTAATTTGTAACATAAAAAATACACACAATTCTTTGAATTTTTTTCTAATATGTAGGACATAATTAAGTTTGAACATTTAAACTCAGTCAATGACATTGGCTTCTCTTTAAAAATAGATTCCCAAATTTGGTATGATGCCAACCGGTACTAATTGCATTGCAAAAATTCCAATTCGATCTTATAGATGAGATGGCCTTTGAAACACCTGTTGTTGATTTTTCTTGGTGTTTTAAGACTCATTACAATTTATATTTAGATTAAAGTTGCTTTAAACATCAAAAATAAGCCTTGTGTAATCCTATAAACAAAATACGAAACTACATATAACAAATCTTGTTTTTTTTTTCTTGTTTAATAGCAAAAAGCATAGAGCCAATATAAAAGCAGCTTAAAATTACCCTCAACTTTAACATCAAAATAAAGCTTAATGTGAATTAACCAGCTGTGATGTTGGTAGTTTACTGATAACATTATTTATATTAATTTAACCTTCATTTCTTAAGAGGCTTTTGCCTTAGCACTGATAGTAACAGTTATTATTATATAAGAACCTGAGGAAGGTTGATAATCTCTCTGTCAATTTGATTTTTTCTTTTTCATTCTTGATGCTTAACTAATGAGAATGGAAGATTTTTAAACAAAACAAACTAAAATGTGAGAATTTTCTAAAAACAAGATTAAGACTCAGGGAATAATGAAAGATATCTGGGAAATATTAGGTATGTGGGATTCCGGGTTATGACGATGAAATTTCAATTTTTTTTTTTGTCGAGATTTTGTATCCTAATGGTCAATCAACATACCCCAAACTCCATACACTAAATTATTCTCAAATTTGAAGCCGAAATCTATGAAAAAAGACACTCAGAAAAATTGAAAAATTGATTAATCACCCCAAATTGCTTAACACGAATTTATCTCAGGAACTATAAGTTCAAATGAGTCGAAATTTCCAGGGATTGTAGTCCCTTGATCACAGTTGAAAAACAGTTTCTTCCACTTTGGTTTTTGGATGGATTTTTGATGGATATTTCCATATAAATATTCACAGAAAAATCATAGCAAAATAATCAAAAGAGTTTTTCAAACATACTCTTTGAAGCGCCGGAATATTTAAGCTTAGTTCTAAAGTCGCATGTAACGGTTTTCAAGATATTCTGAAAGTTTCCAGTTTTAAATTGTTTTTTTCTTAAATGTTTCCGAGAGTTCGGAAATGTTCTGGTCGGTTCTTATAATGTTTCTGAAATTTTAATTTGATTGTAGAGTGTTCCGTAGCGTTTTACAATGTTCCTGGAAGTTCCAATTGTTCTCAAAAAAATGCAGGAGGATTGAAAATTGAATTTAAAGGCTCCTGAAGCTTATCAAAGTTCTAAAGTGCTCTAGAGCATCTCAAAATGCTTAAAAACGTTCCAAATTGGCACGAGCGTATTCTGAAGCTTTTCAAAATGGTTTCTAAAGTTTTCAACTGGTTGCCTAATGCTCTTGAAGCGCCGGAATCTTCTAGAAGTTATTACAAATTTCCCGAAGTCGCTTTTTGATACTTCTAATTGAAATTCTAAATAAATTCAAAATTGTTTTAGAGTGATCATTTCATGGTTGTTTCAAGTTAGTTCTAAAGTGTTATATAACGAAATTCAAGATATTCTGAAAGTTTCTAGTTTTAGATTTTTTCCAAAAGTTCCATATGATTTGTAGGGTGTTCTAGAGCTTTTCAAAATATTTCTGAAAATTTTAAATTGGATCTTATCTAAACCTAAACTTTAAAGTAGCTCAAGCTTTCTCAAATGTTCTCTGAAGTTCGGAAGTGTTCTGGTCCGTTCTAGAAGGTTTTTGAAATTCAAATTTGATTCTAATCTAAAGTGTTCTGTAGCATTTTACAATGTTCCTGGAAGTTCCAATTGTTCTCGAACAAATGCAGGAGGATTGAAAATTGAATTGAAAGTGTTCTGAAGCTTATAAAAGTTTGGCACAAGCGTATTGAAGCGCCGGAATGTTCTGGAAGTTATCACAAATCACCCAAATATTCTTAGGCTCTCCTCAGCACCTACTTCAAATTGAAATTTTAAATAAGTTCAGAAGTGTTTAAGTATCTCAAGGTTTCTTAAATGCTCCCTAAAGCTCGGAAGTGTTCTGGACCGTTCTAGAATGTTTCTGAAAATCAAATTTAATTCTTAAGTGTTCTGTAGCGTTTTACAATGTTTCTGAAAGTTCTAATTTGTCTCAAACAAATTCAGGAGAATTGAAGCTTTTCAATGTTCTAAATTTCTTCCACCAAAGTGCTCTAGAGCATCTCAAAATACTTAGAAATGTTCCAAACTGCCACGAGCGTATTCTGATCCAGCCAGCAAGTTACATTCTGTGATGTCTCCATTGCTCTAGAGAGTCTTGAAATAGGTACTTAAAAATGTTCCAACTTGGCGCTACCGCATTCTAAAGCTTTTCAAAATAATTTCCAAAGTTTTAAATTGGTTCCATAATGATTTTGAAGTCCTGGAATGTTCTAGTTATCAGAAATCTTCCAAATGTTCTCTAGCGCTCTTTGATACTTCTGTAGTTAGGTATCTGTTTGAAAATGTTAGGTTTTAATACATAAAAATAATCAACGGTATTAGGTATAACACAAATATCCTCAAAAAACACAAATATCCATCAAAAATCCAATTCTTTATCCACTATAATACAATTAGCCGGTTTTTTGCCAACCCTGCCCTTAATTGGGATAAAATTCAGTGAAAGTTTCAGCTTTCTGTCTATAATAGATTTGTTATGACCTTTCAAAGTTTTCCCATATCTAAATCATAAGGTAGGTAGGTACAGGGTGAGTCACTATATTTTGACACCCACCTGCAGCCGTAATTACAGGTGATAGGTAAAAAGTCTAAATACAAAAGTTGTAGCTTTTTATCTGAACCGCCAGAATTTTCAATTCGATTGTACAAATAAGCAACAAAAAGTGGAAAAATATGTCAATGTTCACTTTTTTCAAATGGAATGCCCTTTAATTTCTTTCAAATTCTTAAAGTTCTCGTTTTTCTGATTCAGATTATATAATATGTTGATGTTTCTTTCAATAATTTTAGAAATATCTGGAGTTTAGTTATTCAAAGATCTATTCAGGTATCACAATGTTTTGCGACAGGTTACAGGTAAATCAACGTGAAATTTATTCAAAAAACTACTCTCTTTGAATAACTAAACTCCAGATATTTCCAAAACTATCGAAAAAAACACTAACATATTATATAATCTGAATCAGAAAAACGAGAACTTTAAGAATTTGAAAGAAAATAAAGGGCATTTGTTGCTTATTTGTACAATCGAATTGAAAATTCTGGCGGTTCAGATGAAATACTACAACTTTCGTATTTACACCGTTCACCTATCACCTGTAATTACGGCTGCAGGTGGGCGTCAAAATATGGTGACTCACCCTGTACCTTCTTACTAAAACGATGAAATTTCAATTTTTTTTTTGTCGGGATTTTGTATCCTGATGGTTTATTCTCAAATTTGAAGCCAAAATCTATGAAAAAAGGCACTCAGAAAAATTGAAAAATTGAGAAATCACCCCAAATTGCTTAACACGATTTTATCTCAGGAACTATAAGTTCCTATGACTAGGATAAAATTCAGTGAAAGTTTCAGCTTTCTATCTATAATAGAAAAAAAAAAGTTATGACCCGAGGGGTATCTAACGCTCGTAAATTTTGTACACCTATTCCCTTTTTGGAAATGTTTTCCTGATATTGCCCATAATTTCCGGAATTCTCTGAATATTTAGAATTTTTTCAAGTAGGTATAGTCCGACAAATACCATTTTAAAGTCACGTGATACTCGTGGCAAAAAACGTATGTCCATTGATTATGTCGTTGATATCACCTACAAAAAGCTACTGGTGGTTAATTACTATTGAATTTTAATATATGTTCCCACTACCGTTTTACAAACGCGTTTCTGAAGTAGTATTGACCAATCTGAGGGCAATTTTATTACTTGCAATTGTTGCGAGACTCACTTTTGTCGCATCTGCTGCCCCTTGTAATACATTCTGAACTTAAATTGGGTACCCGTTTTCTATTTGCTTCTTTTCGAGTTGGAAAAAGGTTAATATAGTCAAAATTATTAGCTGTGTTTGTTCATTGTATTATTTTCGAAAATAACTTTGACAAACTAATTGATGACAGTGACGGATTCTATTTCAGGTAAGAATATTATGAACAATAATTAGACAGCAATTTTTTTGTCAATTTTACTATCACCGCTGTTTGAGATGTATTCAACAAGGATAGAGAAAAATCACGTGACTTTAAAATGGTATTTGTTTCTATATTTCCTATAATTTCTAAAATTTCCTAAATAATTTATGGAGCTTCCTGATTAATTTCCTAAATTTACCAAATAATTATTTATTTCCTATAAAATTTTTGACATTTCTGAACAAAAAATTGATAATTCACAAAATTTCTGAGAGATTTTTCATTTCTCCTCAAAATTTCCAAACATCTCTACAATATTTATTGTAGTTTTCTAGTAATGAACATTTTTTGCTGGAATATGTAGGTATAGTAGCCGCCATAGATATTCGAGACTTGTACAAAAAATTATGTTCCCTTATCAGCCGGTCTGAATTTAGTCAAAGGCACGGGTCAGGTAACCGTTAAGTACAGGGTGATTCATTGAGAATGGCACTCGACCATATCTCAGAAACTAACTATTTATTGTAGTCTCAACGAAAAAAAAAAGTATCCTATAAATGTGGCCAAGAAAGAATGCTGGAAATATATTTCAGCTTTCTAAAATGACCACGAGGGGCATAACC